GGCTGATATTTTGATTTATAGTAGAGATGAGGTCTCGCTGCCCAGGCAGGTCTCGAACCTGTGGACTCAGGCAATCCACTCACCTCAGCCTCCCAAAGGCGTGGGATTATAGGCTGAGCCACCGAGCCTGGCTGTGTATAAGTTTTTAATAAAAGGAACTAGGGCTCCTTGAAGAAATGGTGATTCCCAGACTGGGACAAGGAAAGTACAAATAAACCAGTAATGTCTTATGGCACCAGAAAGTAAAGAAGTCTTTATTGAAGAATGTGAGTATGCTGAAAGGACTCAGGATCCAACTTTAAGAAGCTCCCAAGAGCAAAATCTGTGACAATTTGAGCAACAAAATAATGACAGTAACAGCAACTCAGAGAATCAAATAAATAGCTATGAGTCCATGCTTAAAGAAATGATTGGATGAATAAATAAATGAGGGAAAAGGAACAACTCTTGGTGCTTACTATGTCAACCGAAAAAACAAAATCAGAAAAAATATCTCCAAATATGTCAAAATTTATCTGGGAATTAGAAGTGATGATTATAACCTGAGATGCACCGCTATTCCAAGCCACATGTCCATCTGAAGAGGGGAAGGAAAAGAAGTTTTTATTGGCAAAAGTTCACACAAGCTGCTTGGAAACAGAGTTTACTGGTTTTAGAGACTCCAAGCCAGAGTTGCTGTCAACTCTGGCTTGGAGTCAGAGTTGCCATTATTGGGCATATGTCCTTTTGATAGTATCTTATCTGAATTGCTGCAGTCCTACAGAAAGAATTTATTGTGGGTTATTTTAGGAGGTCCTTGAAACAGCCTAATCTCAGACATGCAAGCATGAACTCTCCACCTTTGGGCGCTCTTGGCTCTGGTGTGGTTGGGTCTGACAAAAAGTGATTTCATTCTGATAGCATCAACTTTCACTCATGGAATTCCAATAAATAAATATAGAAGGAATTATGTAAACAGAAAATCACTCTGTGGCAAACACCACAGTAATGATAGTTGCAGACAAGACTCACGTATGCATGCTAAACTTAGTAGGTTGAAAGTATGATGAGAAACAGGATATCTGCATGGCCTCAAAATATCTCTTACAAAGAGAAAAACAGTAACTTTATAATGGAGAAATCTAGATGGACACCTCATTAAGTAAGTTTCAAAGTTAACAAGCATCACTTGTAATGAATATCAACAGCATGTATGGAGGGGACCCCAAAAACCTGGAATTTATTAAAAATTGTGTATTCTTACATGTTTAAACTTCAGTCACCTTTCAAGTACTCTCTGTTGGATGAAATACAACTATCAAGATGCTTTTTTCCACTGCTCAAAACAGTTTTTGAACTCGTGGGTTTCAATGTTTTTTAGTGCTTCTGCTGTTTTGTGTTTCACCTTTTCTACATTGGCAAATATTTCCCTTTCAGGATTTTTTTCCTCTGGGGAAACAAAAAAAAGTGGCTTGGGGTCTTGCTATGTGGTACTACAGCATGAAACTGAAGATACTTTTAAAGTCATGTAGTTATAAAGACACTGTAGTATCTAAACTACTTTTTCGTAGAGGAGTCAAGAGACTAGTAAAACATACAAGCAAGCTTGGATCTCAGTAGCTTACTGATGTTGTGTGATTTGTGGCATATTTACTGCTCATATTTCTGATCTGCAGTTACTACTCTTCCATGAATTAATTAACATTGGAAAGCCCAAGACAGGCTTTTTTCTTACAAATGTAGTTCCTATCCTAGAAGGAATTTCAGTCTGACCAGGAAATGAAACAAAAGAGCGAGTGCCCAACACAGTGAGCAAGTTGCCTGCAAGAGGGTGCTCGTGAGGCAATCATAAGTCAGTGGTTCTTGACAGGGGAGGTTTTGCCCCTGGGGGTATTTGACAACATCTGGACACATTTGGTGGTCTCACTTGGGAGGAGCTGCTACTGGCATCTAGTGGGTAGAGGCTAGGGATGATGCTCAGCATCCTACAGCACATGGGCAGCTCCCACAACAAAGAATTATCTTGTCTGAAATGCAGGACATAAGGTTAAAGAGCCCTTTCCTAAAGAAGTGCAGATGTTGCTTATAAGCGCAAAAAATATTTGGGCCACCAATGAACTTTGGGTTTTGAGAGAAGTTACTTCATTCCCTAGACTTTACCCTAGTCACTGAGGGTGGCCAGGACAATCTAATAGGCTATTACCTGTTAAATAAATATATATGTATGTGTGTATGTGTATTCTGTTAAAACATAGAAACCTAGAAAGCGAAAATCTTCTGTAATTCTGATAATAAATTGGTATATACACTTCTATTTTTAAATGTTTATATTGACAAATAAAACATTATTAAAGATAACAGAGGAATTATAATTTTATTGTAAATTATACTACTATTTCACATCTCATGTTTTTAACCATACTACATGGTGGGTGTTCTTTGTTCTGGTATGATGAGTAACTCTGTAAAATAAGGATTACAGTGTCTGTCCACTTACTTCAGAGACACTAGACAGACTTATAAATTGAGATTTCAGAAGTATGTTGAGGTTTTTAGATTAAAATTATTATACACCATGCCTTATTTTTAATTACCACAGCAACATTGAATGATTTTATTACTAGTTTCTTTTGAGGTGTTACTGAAATATTTTTTAAGGCATTCTGAGTCCTCAGAAAGAGACCATTATGGCTGTATAAATACAGTTTGTGTAATACTAGTAGACTTCACCTGTCTTCTCTGTGTCTCCACAGGTAAATACGTATATCAGCCTATGACCCCTGTGGAACTGCTTCCAAGCACTGAGATTCCTGCCAGGCCTCGGGAACCCACAAACACCATCCAGATCTCAGTCTCTCTCACCGAACACTTTTTGAAATTTGCATCTGTCTTCCAGCCTCCCCTTCCCCCCGAGTCACCAAGGTACTGTATGATTTCAGACCTCTTCATCGACAACTATCAGGTTAAATGTATTAATGGGAAGATGTGTTATGTGCAGAAGCAGCCGGCACCACATTCCCACAAAATGAGCCCTGAGGAGGTCTCTGCACACGATGCCTTAATTTCAAAAGAGAGCAATACACCAAAAATAGATCACTGCTCTTCTCCCTCAAGCTCCGAGGACTCTGGTATCAATGCAATCGGGGCAAACTATGTGGAATCGTGTGATGAGGACACCGAAGAAGGAGCAGAACTGAGCTCAGAGGAAGATTACAGTCCAGAGAGCAGCTGGGAACCGGACGAGTGCACCCTCCTCTCCCCCTCACAATCTGACCTGGAAGTGATTGAAACAATAGAAACCACCGTGTAGAGTCCAGGCAGGAAGCTGCAGCCTCCGACCTGTGCTGAGCTTTTGTACCTTTGCTGATGGAGCCTTTTGCCAATGCTGTTGGTATTTTCTAGCCCTCTCTTACAACCATAGCAGTTCAGTGGTATGCTGATTAGCTTCACTCTTCAATTAGTCTTGTAACTAAGACATTCTTTTTATTATTCTTTTGTACCTTGACTTGCTTTCTATGTAGCATCTGGTGTCATGAGTTGTGACCCAGCCTTAATTTCACTGGGAACTTTGAAAGCATGAATGGTGATCACAGAACATCATGGATCAGATCAAGGAGCTGCCAGAGCGAAGGAGACAGTGTTTTTTCAGCAGCCGGTCCTTCACAGAAAGACTCTCGGCATTCCTTCTGGCATACTTGCTCCTATCCTGCTGGCCCCATGCAGGAAGCCGCTCACTCAAGGGCAGCAGAGTGTACACTGGTAGACGCTGTCCTTTCCCTTTCCCCACCCCTGCACTGGGTCTGGATCAGAGCTGTCCTGGCCTATTTCAGTGCTCTGCACACAGTGCTCCATGACTGGGCTGACCTTCACTAAGAAGAGGTGGCCACTCTGTCTCATGCTCAGTCCAGGCTTCACTGAGCACCTACATACTGCAGGTGTGTGGAGACGCAATGAATAAGCCCTCATTCCCACCACAAAGGGGCCCACAGTCCAACAGGGGCGAAGACACATTCAGCTAACAGTACCCAGCCTGCTCTGGGAGCCCAGGGGGAGGGGAGGAGAGAAGTACTTGGCTTAGGCCTGCTGGGGAAGGTGATACAGCATTTTAGCTGGCCTCTTGGGTGGGTTTCCCAACATTTCCCTGCTTTTCTTAATTGTTCTTCAAATCTGGGGAAACTCTTAGGAAGTTATATAGGTATTGTATTTAGGAGGCAGCCACATCTGACATCTTAAGGGGAAAAAAATCAATTAATAGTTTTAGTTAGCATGGAAATGCTAAAGACAGAAGTCCTTTAGGGATTAGGAATGAATCTAATAGGTTTGATTAATTCTGCTTCATTTGGTTGTATGAAGCATTAGAATGGCTTAGGTGAGAAATGGATTAGAATTCAGTATGATGCATGGATTCTTTTATGCAAATGCAAAAGCAGTTGAAATAGTTCGCTGCTAAGTCAGGAGAAAATATTTTGTGTAATTTTCATTTACTTTACAACACTGATATCTATAGCCCATTGTGTATATTCTCTCCTCTCACATGCACAAAATCATGAGTAATTCTTTAGCTCTCTTCAGAATTCTACTCCCAGTGTCCACTTATACTATGTATTCTTGTGTGAGTTGATTATCTGCCATTTCTCCAAATCTTCTATCTGTAAGGTGTAGCTAAGAATTCAGGAAATTTTGAATATGGTCTAATGAAATGAGAACCATCAAAGTTGGAAGTAGAAAAATACTTCTGTCTTCACTATCTGAGAGCGTGCTCTGGTGGCATTATCATGCCCTCTGTCAACACAACACATTAGGTTGTATCTCCTTTGTCACATTAGGTTGTATTTTAGAAATAAGAGGCCTGTTTTGCTCTCCCCGAAACCTCCGTGTGGCATCCTTCACAGATGACTCGAGGAAGATTCTGCTTTCGGATGTGTAGTTCAAGTCTAGATAGAACTTTTTTGTTAGGTTTAGGCAGCCTAAACATTCATGCAGTTTAGAAGGCAGAGGATGCATTTTTGCAAACAGTTAAGACTCACTATGCTAGGTGAGAAGGCGGCATAAAGTTCCCACTTACTGAAATTTAGAGACGCATCAGGTTGAACCAAGGTGGTGCGAGGAGTTCCAGGAACAGCGGAGCACAGGAGAGGGCACACAGAGGCATGAAGGGCCTTCCCCTGCCCGTGGCCAGGTGGCTGAGGAACACCTGATGAGCCCTCCTGGAGGTTCGAGGTTCTCAGTGCCTCCATTGTGAGCATGGCCAGCTGAAGGCAGACGTGGGCCTTGCAGCCACACATCATGCCACAGGGGTGCAACCATTTGTCGTATTCAGGGTTGTCACAGCAACACCAGGGCCCTGTGTAAATTCCCCTGGGAGTGACCTATCCTCCTAGCAGGCGTATAGAGGGGCCTCCTCCCCTACATCATCCCCATCAATGTCTTATGACAGGCCTGCATAACTGCCCATTAAACTAATTGGAGTCAAGGACCAGGCTTCCAAAGCCATGGAAATACGTGGTCACAAGGCCATGCATTCGGCCGTGAACCTTGGCTAAGTGTCAGGGCTGGCCCTTGATCAGTACCATCCATGACTTTTGTCTAGGTTCCTGTTTTTTAAACTCCTGAACTGCCATTCAGATTAGCCACGATTTTAATGGAGTTTTTGGATTTAATAATAGTTGATAATCACTTTAAATATTTACACAATCTCTTTATAATTAAAAATGCACTCAGCTTTGCTTATTACTATCTATTGTATAGAATTGGAGATGTTCCATTGGATTCTAAATATCAGATACTCTTGGATCCCAAAACAGCCTTTTCTAAGTAAGCACAAACAAGATTTTTTTTTTTTGGTCCTAGCACTGTTAGTAGTTCTCTGAAATATATGATTGAACTGGAATTGTTTCCTTATGCTTGCATTTCAAAATCAGCTGATAAGTATGTAAAAATATGTAGTTTCAACTTAAATTCTAGGCCTATTCTGTTTTATATGAAGGAATTTCTCTGTAGTGCTGATACTATGTTGCTAATTTGCATAAGCATATTTATAGGCACTTTAGAAAATGTTTAGACTGCAGCCTGCACTATAGACATTGAATACAGTCATGTTAAATAGCCCGTGATTAACACTTGTGCACTGACTGATGGGAAAGTTTGGTGATTTGCACGTAGTAGTCTACTCACTTGGAGCAAGGGTTGGGCTGTGTGGACGGATAAACTGCTTTCTTGGGCTTCTGTGGAAACCTGGCACCGTTCCTACTTTTGGAAAGTTTGTATACAAGCTATTGGGTAGAAGCTTAATTTTTCTAAATATGAAATTTGGTTTTCTTATCTAACCAAGAATTATTCTAGAACTTTCAAGTTTCAAATACGCTCATAAGTTTTCTGAGAAAAGCAATTAAAATGCTTTTGTGTTTATAATTATAATTTTAATTTGATTACATTAAAAAGTAAGACTTTACTATCAAATCTAGGTATTTTTTACCTTGTAATTTTTAAGATTCGAAATGAGAATTTGAGGATAGCCCTGAAGAACAACAGTTGCTTCCTAGAAGGGGACTTGTAGTTCAAGGTAATACAATACTAAGTAAAACAAAAACAAAGCCAAGAGCAGACCAAAACCACATGGCTGTTTTCCTGAAATACTTTTTGGATTTGACCTTATCTTGGGAGTGGTGGTTTTGTTTCTTATCCTTCACTTTCTTGTCTATTTGAAACATCAAAAATCTTTTGGGACTGCTCATAACAAACTGCTTTTATACAAATGTAATTCTCTACTTGGGTAATAGGATGCAGCTGGGTAATTTAGAAAGCTGTCACTATATCTAGCTAAGTTTGGTGGTATAGATACTACTAGGCAAGGAAAAAAAGCACAAGTTACAAAATAATACTTACACAGTCAGCTCTTAATTATTCCCACATCTTGCTTGCAAATTTTATTGTCACATTTTGGCTTATTACATGAGGAAAACATTTAAACAGTTTTCTTTTCCTACTCCCTTCTCCAGAAGAGGTGTGAGCCAGAATGGAGGGGGCCCGTTCTGTTGTAGACTTTTCAGTAGTGCAACCTAGTCCCTCCCCACTGAGGAGAAGGGAGGGCAGGCAGGAGGAGTTCCCCTACTCCGTCAGGCCTGGGGATGGCGGTCTTTCTCACGTCCAGACATAAACACAAAGGTGCGTCTCAAAATTGGTTGTGAAATTAGTCACCGTTTAAAAATGTTGTCACAGCTCCTTTTCATGACTGTGGATAACTGAGTGAACTGTACTAGGAAAAGGCCGGTTTCAGTTGGTTCTCCGGGCTTTTCCCTGAAAGCCTGAAGCGTGCTCTCTAGGCAACGGAAAGCAACCTCTCTCTGGCAAGTTCTTGTTGGAGCTTCCATGTCATTGTGTTCACTTTTTAAGGCTGTTCATACCTTGCAATATTCACTTCCTGTGCTATTTTTTAAACTGTTTTAAAGTTTTAAGCACAATGTTGACTCTTCTGTAATTTCCTAAATTAATCTTGTTTTCTTATGGACAGCACAACTTCCTTTATGTGTAACACTTTAGGAAAATACTGCCTTGTAAAATAAACATGATTTTTTTTCTTTTGTACCAGAAAAAAATCTGCTGTTTTGGAGTACAGAATAACCCTACCCCTCAACCCCAAAACCCACATTTGCAAAATGTGAACCACTTATATTAAGTGTGTACTATATGTAGGGAAATAGTTTATATCCATTATTCCATTTGACCTTTACACAATTTCATGAAGGGCAGGTAAATATTACCATCCACAGTACATATTCATGGTCTCCACTCCTGAAAAGCTCCCAGAACTGTTTGTAGTAAGACCATTTTTGTTGGCTACACTGGGTTTATAGCAAATAAAACGATTCCCCCATAAATAGCATTTATTTCACATGAAGGTACAGCCTTTGTGCTTGTGTAAGAAGTATTTGGCTGCAGGTAGAACTTTGGGGACACAGGACACTTGGGGGTCGCTTGGTCACCAAAGCTCAGGGTCCAGACCTTGGTGTGGTAAGCAGGGCTGGCATGTTTTTATTCGGCATACCCAGAAAAGAACAGCTTCTGGGGTTAGCTTCTATTGAAATATCTAAATTTATTCATATTCGTCAGTAATGAGAATAAAATCGTTCCTAATATTAACAATTCTAGTGCCACAGCTATCTTTCGCGTGCTGTGCACAATCTTCACAGCAGCCCTGTCAGGGATGATAGCCCAATTTCACACATCAGGAAAAGAGCCCAAGAAGTGCGTGTTTTTCGCCCGCAGTGACACAGCGTGTACACCGGTGGCAGTCAGGATTTGAACCCAGTCCCTTGGGCTCTAGAGCACATGCCCCTGGTGCTTTTTACATTCCTGTCCCTCACCCAGCGAGTACCTGCCCACAGGCCGGTGGCTCATCCCCAAAGTGCTGGAGAAACGCCGGCAGGC